AGAGAGAGAGAGAGGGGGNGGGGGGGGGGCTTCTTTCATACTCCAGAGCCCTTTTCTAGAACAGAGCTCGACAAGATCTATTTCTATCCCAAAACCATTGAACCCTTCCTGCATGTCCACTTCAGACTCCCGAATCCAGCAACAGCTCCCGCTTACAGTGTATACAAGACCGCATCTGCCTTTTCCTCCTTCAGCCTCTTGTTCGCCCTTCTCAGCAGCACCTTGAGGCCCAGGCATATGGCGACAACAAGGGCCGAGAAGAACAGCATCAGCAGGTTCGCCATCAGGAAGCGCGGCCCATCCGAGGACGGGAAGAAGTAGGGGCTCCAGATGTTGCCCAGCTGGCTGAGCGGGCTGACGATGGCGATGGCGCAGGCGCGCTCCTCGGGCGTCTCCCCCAGCGTCGACGACGCCCATGCGAACACGATGCCCACCGTCGTGAAGGTGCCGCACACGTACAGGAACGCGGCCGCGTACCGGGCCGGTCCGTTGACTGTCACCGCCGTGATGGCGAAGCCGACGCAGGCGACGGCCTGAGGGATTGAGATGTGCCAGCCCCGCTCGTCGCGGCGGTCGCTGGATATTGCCAGAAGGAGCGAAACGACGGCCGCGGCGAGGTACGGGGGCGCGGTCAGGATCAGGGTCAGGGTGTTGCTGCCGAGCTTGAAGCCTCTGACAATGGTCGGGAAGAAGTTGATAAATCCATACGCGCTATGTCCAGCGAGCGTCATGAAGACCTGTGAATGTGGAGTCCCGTCAGCAGTTGATGCCTCCTTTTATACGGCCCAGATTGGAGCAAGCCCTAGAATCGTCACTCACAAATATCCAGGTGCGGACATCCTTTACAGCAATCATCAGCCCTTTTAGAACTCCCGCCTCCCTCGCGGGGAGTGACACGCGATCCCTCTTCATCCTCTCTATCGCCACCGCCTCCTCCTCGTCCGTCAGCAGCCAGGCCATGACGCCCCAGCGCTTCTGGCCCGGGAAGTCGGGCAGCAGCACAAGCGACAGAAACGCCACGAAAAGGCTCGCGGCGCCCTCGATGACAAACAGCCACTGCCAGCCGGCCAGCCCCCTGGCGCCCTCGAGGCTCGCAAACACCCCCGCCGCGATTAGGCCCGAGAAGGCCGTGGCGAGGGGCAGCCCCGTCAGCATGACGGCCTGGCGCGTCGCCAGCTCGCGGCGCGGGTACCAGCAGCTGAGGAGGTAGATGGCGCCGGGAGCAAATGGGGCCTCGACGAAGCCGAGAAAGAACCGGATGGCGACCAGGTGGCCGAAGCTGTTGGCGGCCGCGGTGGCCGCCGACACGCACGACCAGAGGGCCACCCAGGCCGGGATGTAGAGGGACGGCCTGGTGCGGGCGAGCATCATGTTGCTGTGTGGTGGCCTTGTCAGTTAACATCTCTCCAGAGTAAAGGAGAGAGCGGTAGGCAGCCTGGGGCTGTGCGATTGCGACGGAGTGGCGACTCACGACGGTAGCTGCATCACCATGTAGCCAACATTGAGGATCGACACGGCCACATTGAACTGGTTGCCGACCAGCCCGAGGTCGCGCTCGAAGGTGCTCAGCCTCGCCTGTCTGTTGCAGCCAGGCGGCGGATATAAGTCAGCCCGTTTCTCTTGGGTTGCTCGAAAAAAGTGGCATTGGCTTAGTAGCTTACGCGATGTTGTTTCGATCGAGATAGTTGCAGACATAGAGCAGCCACAGCGGCGGGAGCAGCAGCATGTCCAACTTCCGTACGAGTCGCCGCTCCACCTCGGAGCGATGCTCCTCGCTCATGTCCACACGCGGGGTTGATGGCTCGAGCTCGTCGTCGCTCAGATCCCCGGCGGCCCCTGTACTCTCGGGCCGCTGACCTTCTCGTCCGGCCGGAGTCTTGCGCTCTTCCATTCTTGATGCCGGGCCGGGAGTTCCGAGGAGTGGCGACGTTTCTCCAATGGGCGTTCGAGACGAGCTCGAGAGTGTTGATTCAGAGGCCATCGGGAGAGAAAGTAGCATGACGAAAAGTCAAATCCAGACCCCAACTCGCCAACCCCGCGGCAGGGTTCAAGTCGGCCCGAGCGGCCGTTCTCGACCGCCGCGTTCGAGTCCAAACAATGTACAAACCTTCCCAAAGGCTTGTTTGGCGGTGACTGTGCAGGTTCATCATTCCCCAGTGCAACGCCAGGATGCCGATCATTCCGCAGCTACCGGCACTCAATTGCTAGAGGGTCCCGCCAGGCGTGGGGCCGCTTGACACATGGAGCCATTTGAACGCCGACCTCGGCCATCATGTCGGAAACGTCTTTATTCCGACCAGCGCGCAACCGTGTCTCGACATCGAGATTGAATGCAATATGGAGGATTTTTTCTATCCAACATTTTCGTCACGTCGAGTACCTAATTAAGAATTTTTTGTCTTCCCCAGCCCAAAGCCGGCTAGTACGCGCTTTCGCGCCGCAAACTTCCTCCTGCGCTAATCCCAGGCCGACGTGCCCGAAAGCACAAAGACCAGAAATACATGCCCTCGACATTAGGATTTATCTATCGTGTGATTCATTATCGCTTGCAGTGGCCTTTATCATTTGGCAACAACAATCAACGTCTTTTCACCCCTATTCTTCTGGACAACTACCCCTTGTCTTTGTTCTTGGGAGCGGGTGTTGCAGACCTTGATTGAAGGGCAGGAATGGGATAGAAACAGACGACACGGGCACATGTCCGGCAAGGAGCAGAAACCTCCCGCTTCGAGGAAGACCAACTAGAATAGGAATTGGGGTAGAATAAAGTAGAGGTAACATACCCAGCAAAACAGAAAGGAAAAACACTGCAGAAGACTGCCTTCCACAGCGGAGCGCAGCCTCCTGACAGTGCGTTGGAGTAACTGGGGTGTGACTCGTTATCTGCGGTCAGAGGCTCCCAGAAGAAGAGAAACTGGCAAGTAATGGCTTGGGAGGGATACATGGCCACGTAGGTAGTCCGGCTACCTGGATCCCTTCTCTTGATATCTCAGGATCTGAATCCAAACACCCGCCCATCGACAGTGACGGTACTCCTACTGTCAACGGAGCAGTGGGGATCCAGCTCTCCCCCTTCCATTACCATGTGCAGTTCGCAATCTTGCGGCTTCCCCTTACGAGCACTATTTACAAGGCTTTGTCTACACAGAGAGACATCCATTCGAATCTCGTCGCAAACCCAATGGGGGCGGCGCGCCAGGGTTCCCCGTAGACAGGTGGTAAAAGGCGCCGCGGCGTGCTCTCCAACGTTTCTAGTTCTGTTGAGGGATACCGAGACCTCCTTCACCAAGATAGGCATATCTATTGGATCGCCTTGGGACTGCTTCGGTTTGGCGGAGAAACCTGTTGTTGACATAGGCTTCCCCAAGGCCACACATGCTTGACTCTTATTTTTTGCATCTTGCTAACAATTGGCAGAGGCGTGACTGGACAATGGGTCAGACGTCAGGGGGATTTACGTGCTAGGACTGGCTGGGAGGCATCCGGGCCTAGATATTGACAATGCCAGAATAGCAGGGTAGGATCCGCCTAAAGCAAGCGGAACATTCCTCTCCAGTCTGGACACGACATTACCTCTTGCGTGCCCAATTGCTCGTTCCCCAATCAGCGCGCAGACATGGCTGCTCGTCTCTGAAAAATGGAATTGCCGATAAGGGCGGGCCAATGGTGTGCATGGGAAGACGCTAATGCACGGGTGGCAAGTACCCCGGATTTTGAAGCATTGCTTGGCGAGCCAACTGGCGGGGAGTTTTGGTCGATCTCATTCCCGAGGCCGAAATCAGCTGTGCTATCGTTGCATTTTGCCGCTGGGGCCTCCCTCCCTCCCCCCGGTCCGCCCGCCTGATGTCTTGTTTCATTTCCCCTCCCCTCGATTCCACGTCTTGCCCCTCTGACCTGACAAGTTGTCGACCTTCCCATCGCCTGGTGCGTCTACAACCATCACGTCGACTCCTATCATTATAGCGACCTTCGAAGCTGCTCAGCCAGCTCTCCCCGGACCAGACGCCAGACAAGCCGCAACCCCATCACCCTTGCCGCCCGCACAACATGGTCCAAACTCGTTCCGGCTCCGTCGCGCGCGCTACCCCGCCGCCGCCCGCGACGCGTTCCTCCCCCACCGCCGCAACGACGACGAAAACCACGGCCACGACCACGACCACCACCCCACACACTGCCACCATCATCTCCCACACGCCCTCGACGGCCACGCTGGCATGGCTGGCCGTGTCGCTGCCGCTGGTGGCGTGGGACACGGGCTACATCCTGCTGCGGCCGCGGTCCATGCCGGGCGGCGACCTGCACTGGCCGCTGTGGGTGCCGTACGACCTGTACGGGCGTGTCGACCACATCTACGGTTTCAAGCAGTGGCACCTCAACAACGGCTTCACCGCCGCCCAGGGCAGCCTCAACATAATCGAGTCGCTCATGTACCTGTACTACCTCTATGTGTGGTCGTCCAGCGCCGCCCCTGCCGGGTCCGGCGCGCGCGCCGCCGTCACGGGCAGGCCGGCCGCGCGCGCAGTCCTGGTTTTGTTCTCAGCGCTGGTTATGACGCTTTCCAAGACGATTCTGTACTGTGAGTTCATCCTCTATGTTCACTGGAACCTGCAAACTTGTCGGGAGACGATGCTAACCGATGCACTTGTGGCGCGCCGTCCTCAGGGCTCAATGAATCTTGGTCTGGCTTCGACAATATCGGCCACAACACCGCGCGCGACGTGTGTTTCCTCTGGGTGGTCCCGAAGTGAGTCCCACGCCCTTGACATCCATCCGCTTAGGCACGACCTGATCACGAGACTAATAACCATGTCCCTGCCACCAGCGGCCTCTGGATCATCTTCCCCGGATATCTGATTTACAAACTTGGAACCGAGATTATGGAGGACCTGGTGCCATCTAGCACCCGCACATCCTTCAAGACGGAATAAGTCTATGTTGAGTGTGTATAAAGGTCGACTGGCAGCGGCTGGCTTTTTGTATGAAGGGAATGTGCGCCGCCTAGAGTATGTGATCAAGGCGGTGTAACTAATACAGCCTGCAGCAGCAAATCTGGTGCGAGATGTACGGCAGAGTTTCTTGGAAATATGGGATCGGAACAGGACTTATGGATAATAAAGCTTCTGGATAATAATGATGTATTCGGAGCGAGTTTTGAACGAACCTCGGTTTCACCCCTGAATACCTACCTGTCTTTGTAAATGCCTACCTACCTAGGAGACGAAAGCATGGACGACCCCGCAACCAAAAGAATCGACAACCTCAGATGTAAAACATCTCGTCGGTGATGTTCTCATGCACCCGCACCGCCCGCCTCGCCCTCTCGCGCACCGTCTCGCGCGCCTCGTCAAGCAGGCCCTGCGCGCGCGCCCTCTCGGCGCCGTCGCGGATCCTCCTGATCTGCGCCTCGTCCAGCAGCGAGCGCTGGTCCGCGGCCGAGGGGTTGACGGCAGCGTCGCAGGCCATGTAGCAGCGTGCGCGCTCGCATAGTATGTCGGCGTAGTAGGTCGGCGTCACGATGCTGACGGCCTTGGTCGCCCGCCCAAAGACGTAGCACAGGCTGTGCGTCAGCGCCTCGAGCTCGTCGGCCGGGTTTCTCGCGCCACTGCCGCCACTGCCGCCGCCGCCGGGACTGCCACCGGACCCGTGCAGCACGCCGCCGATGCTGCCCATGCGGCCGCGGCCGCCCTGCAGCATGGCGCCCATCAGCGGCTTGCCCCTCACCGGCCCCTGCGGGGAGCCCGGCGCCGCCTTGGGCTTGGCGGGAGAGGTGCCGGGGGATGACTCGGGCCGCTTGGCGCCGCCCCTGCCGCCGCCACCGCTGCCGCCCTTGGGGTTGAAGATGTCGTCGCGGATGACGACGTAGTGCGCGGGCCGCGCGGTGCCCTGCAGGGCCGAGTGCGACTGCAGGTAAAAGTCCCAGACGCGCGCCTCGGTCACGCCCCTGTCGACCACGGTGCCGGGCCTGGCGTTGCCGCGGTCCGTGTCGCCCTCGACGGCCGGGTAGAAGCGCGTGTGGTGGCGCTTGCCGACGATGACGACGGCGACGCGGGGCGCCGGGACCGCCTCCTCCTCCTCCTCCTCGCCGTACACCTCGGCGCAGGCGCGGTCGAGCTCGGGGACCTCGCGGCGCAGCACGAGCCTGTACTGGCCCTCGGACACGCCGTCGCGGTAGACGATGATGTTTTCGGGCAGGCGGCCGCCGTTGTGGGCGCGCCAGAGCTGCAGGCGCCGGCGCATCATGCCGCGCAGCTCCGACACCATCTCGTCGCGCGACCGCGACTGGACCGCCACCTCGCCCGGCCACTGGCCCAGCTCCGCGCCCCGGCTGGCCACCATGGCGGCGACGCTGGGCGTCGCAGCGCTCTGGTCTGGCGACGGGTGCGTCACGTCGATGCCGACGATCATGGTCTTGCCCTCGGCCACGAGGCCGAGGTTCGAGGTGGATACGCGGTGGTTGACTGGGAAAGGGTGGTGGTCCCTAGGTATTAGTGGTCGCTGGCGCGGTGGAGGAACTTTCGCTCGTGTGAGGTCCAAAACTTACCACCGCCAAGCTTGATGTTGATCTTCATCGCCAAGTAGGATCGGACATCCCATTTTTGAGAGTCGCAAATCTTGGATCGTAGCGCACAAACCGTGTGCACACCATAGACCACGTCGCCGAGGTATTTGATGCTGTTGTAAGTGGCCGTGTCGTCGTCTGGGAGGACAGAGCACAAAATCCACTTTTGCCCCCATGACAGCTTGGAAGACACCATCGAGCCTCTCGTGATGGAGCTTCGGGTCGTTGCCGTCGAGGCGGCAATTGTTTTTGCTGCCCGCCAGTGTGGCCGGCGGAGCAAGCGACAGCCCGGTCTGTTCGAGAGTCTGTCGGTACAGAGTTCTGCAGCCTGCGATGCCATCGTTCGGGTCACCACTCCTCGACAGAATAACGTACGTCCAGGGGTGGCCGTTGGCGTTGGCTTGGACGCCTTGCTGGGGGCTCGTGATCCTCGGCTTGGCCGTCTGCGCAAAGTATTTCCCTTGCGTCATCTTCCAGCCGCCGTCACGAACGCCCGGCTGCTCGCCCCTGAAGTACTCGAGAATCGGGCTTGGGAGAACTCGTGAGGGGACTGTGATCAGGCTGCTCTTTACAGAGAATCCCGCTTGTGTCTAGTGAGGTTGTTGCGGCCATGGTCAGCTCCGTTCCTTCAGACTTTTGTACAATGCCCAATCTGTTCGGCGTCTGCCACATCGGCTGACGATCCGGAACGTACCAAGTGCTCGTTTTTGTCCGAGGCACCGACAATATCCAGCCCACTCCCCACGATCGAGGCCGCGTTCAGGTCAGGCTTGCGGACGGCAAACTTGATCATGTCTCTGATCTGCGACGTCCGAAGCTTTCCCTTCCACAGCTGACCCGGGAGAACAACGCAGGCGTCCGCTGGCACATACGGTGGCATGCCCAGCACAAAGGTTCTGTTGGAGCCAATGGTCTTGACGTTGGGGCCACCGGCCTTGACCTTGACGTAATGGTTGAGAAAGATATTGAGCGCCTGCAGCATCTCCTCCTTGTCGCCGTAGCGGACCTCGGGAACCTCTGACGTGAGGTACTTGCGCAGGGTGGCGACGCTCAAGACCCTCTGTAGCTTGACTACGACCCTATATTTCTGGGCATTGTCCGCAGGAGCGTCTTGATCCTCGTGCCTGAATCTCACCCCGAACTCCTTCAGGACAGTGAGGTCCCCTCCGTCGTCTACTAGAATGTTGTTACGTGAGACGAGGAAAGTCTTGAAGTCCGAGACGATGGACCCCTTGAACCTCTGGAGCTCTTCGTCCTCGAGAAGTAGTTGGATTATGCGCACTGTTCCGTAGCCGGATTCGGGTGGATCGATCGAGACGCCGTACTTGTAAAGGTCGTGGCTCGCCTCGGACTGGGCCTTGACCTTGTCGGCCCTCGGGGGCTTGCCACTACCGCCTTTTCCCTTGCCCTTGCCTCCTCCTGACTGCTCAGCTCGGGTATCCTGGGCGCTTTTGGGCCCCGAGATGGTTAGCTCCACGTAGTTGGTCCAGAGCTTCGTGGCTCTCCCTTGGGTGCCGTAGGCTGGACGCGGTGGCAGCGATATGGCCAGGTCTTTGGTGCCTTCTTCTTGCGACTCGCCGCTGTCGGGGAGGGTCTTGGAATGGCCCTCGAGAACGGTGGGGGCATCTTTTCCTGGCTGGGCACTTGCTGTTGCCGCCAGAATAAAGTTCTCTATTCTCTCCACTTCTTCACTTGGGGGCGGCGGACCAACACCCGGGCTGTTTAAAGATTGGTAAAGGCTATCAGCAGGCATGCCGTACACCCGGCTTTGGAATGTGGCATATAGGCGTTTTGTGTTGGCGAGATGGCAGGGTGGGAATGACGTACGAGAAGATCGGGTAGTTGATGGGATTGAAGACCGGGGGCCTTCGGCTCCCTCCACCGAAGTCACCTCCCTGGGGGCTTGCAGGGTACCGCCCTCTGCCCAGGGGGCTCCCTGGATAACTGGTCCCGCTCCGGGGGCTTCCAGGGTAGCTGCTCTCACTGCCAGGGCTCCCGGGACATCCGCCGCGAGAGCTGCTAGGTGATCTAGCTCCTCTGCCGGGACTTCCATCGAAGCCCCGTCCCCTGCCAGGACTCGGTCCTCCGTGAGTACTCCCTCTTCCTCTCCCTCTTCCACCTCTGGGACTGCCTTCTTCTCCGGTGCCCGCCCCGCCTCGAGAGCTGCCTCGGTTGTAGCCGCTCATGGTCGCGCCTTTGGTTGTTGTTGCAAGGACTGTGGTTTGCAGAATTCAGGGCTAGTAGCAGGTGGCATCGCCGGCATCTTGGTATTTATAAGATATCCGGGCAGGCTTACCATGGAAGACTTTTCAACTGATCTTCTTTCGCCTCGGGAGGTGTATGCTCGGCACAATGGGAGCAGCTCTCTTCCCTGTCCAGCGGCGGTGCCTTTTGGTGAAGGGATCATGGTAAATGTTGGGAATTGGGACATGCTAGGTACCTAGGTCTCCAGGTATTCTCTCGTCGTCGAGCTGGATGGAGGCAGTACGAGGCAATGGCGCGAATGCCAACCAACATGTGTAAGCGAAGCTGGATATTGAACGAACAGCCCGGTGGTATTGAGTACAGAGTGGGTGCCGATGTCTCGGGCTTCTCGCGTTCTCCTTTACAGGGGGCCGGTCGGGCTGTGGTGCGGTGAATGGCCTTGGCTGGCTGGTCTGGCAGCGGGTGAGAGGGAGCGCCGCAAAGGAGTCGTCCTTAAGAGGGGCGTGCCAGCGCTGGCACGTGCAGCAGTAACGGTACGGGAATTTTTAGCGTGCTTCCTTGGGATGGCAAACGGTGCGTCTGCCTCCCATATCCAACGCACCAGGCACTTCGGAACAGGACACCGGTACTGGTCCCCCACCCAACATGCGCTTCATCCCCGCCACTGCCATCGCTCCCTATGGCCTGCCTGGCCTTAGTCCTCATGGCCGATCCGCAAGATGGCCAGCAGTGCAACGCCCCAGGCGGCATGGATGTCCCGGCGGCCGAGGCGCATCCCGAGGTCTTTCCCTCTTGGCTGACGCCAGCCCGGTGCCCGCGTCAACCAATAGCCCGGGAACAAGCGTAGCCCTCGAGCACCCCGAGCCCATTTTTCTTTAGCCTACGCGGGTAAGCAGACTTAGCTGCTTGGCCAAGCAGAAGGGCTATCGGCCGAGTCCGCGATCACCTCTCGAGCAACAGTGCCCGAGGTCGTGCTAGGAGCAAACAGGGTAACTCGGCCAGTTTCCACTTTTGAGCCTGGGCAACCGGCGTTTATCTTTCCCAAAATAGGCGACTCGTTGCGGTGGGAAAACATGCTGAACTTAATCACCCAAAGCTGAGTGGGCACGGCGCGTTATCGAGCCAAGCCGGCTGCGGTCTTTGTAGGCACGAGGCTGGAAGAGACATAACGGCGCTCCCGCCGAGGATAAAAGCTAGGAAGCGGGCTAGGTGTGCTTGGCAGGGAGACGGACCGATCGAAGCGTCCGTGAAACCGGTCCAGAAGGCTGGTCCGAGGGACTGCTGGCCAGGTCGCTTACGCCTGGCCTCAGCCTTGAACCACAAAGTTCATCTGCGTGGATTCCGCTAACGGCAGCATCCATGGACCGCGATCGGCGCATGCCAAGGCACACCCAAAAAGACCGGCTGTTGAACATGGCAACGCTTGTGCTGGAGAAGCTAGCGCCGCGAACCATCGGCACGCGATCTCGGGTCGGTGTGCCCCAAGATCCAGGTCCCAGATCCATGTGTAGCTGAGATCCCCGTCAGCAAAACCCGGTTTTCGGGTCGTCAACAGCGATGAGGAGCTGCATATATAATAGGTTTGTCATCCGGTTCAGGTCCTTGTTGGACTTTTTCCTTGCCTCGCTGCTATCAAGAACCCATCGAGGAAACCGTATGCACCACTCAGTCCGCCACGCTTCCACGATGAAGTCTACTCTCGCCCTCGCGCTCCTCGCTGCCACGGCCAGCCCCGTTCTGGGCCAGGCCTGCAACGCTGCGAGCCGCAACTTGCCGGCCTGACCGCCACAACCGGACAGGAACTAACCAGTCGCGGGACAACTGTGCCAGGGCCGCCACCGGGGCCCGGGGAGGAAACCTGTCGTCGCGGCTGGCCGCCTGCCCGTCGTACCAGCGATGCACCGTCATCCCGCTGACGAGGACCATCCCCACCACCGCTACAATCACGCCCGCCGCCGTCACTGCGACCCCGGTCGTCGTGATCGGCCAGACGACGACAGTGCCCGTCGCCCTCGTGCAGCGCCGAGAGGCAGCTCAGGCTTTGGTTGCCGACTCGGCCGGAGCGGCCGATCTCGCCCAGCGCCAGGCCTCCCCCGTGGCCACGACCATCTGCCCCACGGCCATACCGGCCGACCCGGCCAAGTACCGCACCCCGACGTCGAGGTACGCCAGCACCTGCGCCTGCGCCGGCATCAGCAAGTCGTACACCACCTTGGCCTCGCCCTCGACCACCCGCACTATGTCGGCCACGCTCGTGCCTTCGACCGCAACCGTGTCTGTCACGACCACCACCACCACTTCCACGACGCAGATTGTGGCCACCGAAACTGCTCGCCTGTTTTACATCACCCTTCAGGCGCCTGTTTACAACGAGTTTTTTGGTTCCGTTCTATCTGCGTCTGAGGACGACAACCATCTCTATTTTGCCCCTGGCATTGATCGATCTGAGCTCTTCCTCAACAGCGACAACATCCTGGTCGATTTCCGCAGCGGCGGGTTTCCAGCTTACCAGGTAGACAGTGACGATATTCAACCAATTTTTTTCGACAGAGTAACACCTGGCAATACTATACCCGTCAGATGCGCCATAGTGAGCGGCGAGCTACAATGCAACGCAGGGCGCGGCCGGACGACGAGGGTACTTTGTAATGTCGACGCGCCCTTCCTCACTTTGATTGCTGGTCCGATCCCTGCCAACTGCTTTGCAGCCAGGTTTATCGTTGGTTTCTTCACTTGGACCTCTGTCTCTCTCTCTTTAGTTTATTTTATTTTATTTGTATTCCAGCTACGCGGCTATGCGTCGCTATAACGACAATCCGACCTTTTAGGGCAGGGGTGGAAACGGTGTAGATTGTTTTCTTTCTTTTCGCTCTCATTCATCCTTCGGGGTCCTGATTTTTACAATGGAGCGTGTGCACTGGTCAGGTGCTCGCCTCGGCATAATGTCTTGGCCAGTACAGCCACGCTTCGGAGCAACGCAGCCACAAGACTTTGGGTAGCATTGTCTCCAGCACACATGGCTGCCTCCCAAGCCCGACTGACCATCCTGAGGCACGTTGGCGTCCTCTTGCATGCCGACTCAACAGAGGAGGGATCTCACAGGTGCCGAATAATTGGACCCGCATGTGCCTGTAGACGAACCCCTCCTGCAGGGCTCCCGCACTTGCCCCTCGTCTAGCTCCGCGGTGCCCGAGAGCGAACCACGCTAGCCCACCAGGTCCCCATCGTTCCCGATTCGCGCCGCAATCTTGTGCCGCAGCCAGTGAGGATACGCCACTCGTGATGCTCAACATTGCCGATTCGAAGCCCAGATGACACCTTCCCCAATCATCCCCTACCCTGCCTCGTGGAGCTGCTGAGAATATCTGGAGTGCCGGACAGGGATGCTCGCCGATAAAGGGCACGATGGCCAGTCTCTTGGATGTGGTGGCGGAGGAGGGCGAGAGAACCAACTCGCGCCCTTCGAACCAGCCCGCTGCCGCGGCTTCTCGTCGCCATGCTCAGCCACGTCTCTTTTGTGCTGGCAATCGCTCTGCTATGTCTTTGGCCATACTCGACGGACGCTCTGGTTGCGCCGAGGGGGGTCGATGCCGCGTCTTGGAACAAGGCAGGCAGACACCTTGACAGCTTCCTGGGTCCCAGGAGCCCGAGGAATCAGACCGAGCTGGAGAGCGCGCGCCTTCTCGTCCAGGCCGCGATAGCCGAGACCAGCGTCCGTAACAAGGCGCGCGTCCTTCACCCGCTTCGCAACACCTACCATGCCGACTCTGCCGCTGCCGCCTCCGCTATGCTGCGCGAGCGCGACGGAGACGGGCAGAACGCCAGCTTCACGACTCGGATGCTGAGCCCAGCGCCGCCGCTACTTCAAGTCAGTGATCAGGTCGCTTCTGCCGCGGCTTTACTTGCGGAGCTTGGTGCCAGCGGTGCGCCTGCCTCGGCCACGACGGTCCGGCGAGCCACCACCAACAGCAGCAGTAGCGACTCGAGTGTCTTCTGGATGGAGAACATCTCCCGGAAGCACTACAACTCTTCCTCCCGTCAAGTATTCCGCAACGTCCGCGATTTTGGTGCCAAGGGGGATGGTCGGACCGACGACACCGTGGCCATCAGGCGCGCCATCTTGTCCGCATCGAGCGGCACGCAAGATACCGAAGCACGATGGCCAGGAAGTGACGGAGTGAGGAACGCCGTCGTTTACTTGCCGTCCGGCACATACCTCATCAGCGGCACCATCCCGGCTCTGCCTGCGACCCAAATCATTGGCGATGCGACCAACTTCCCAGTACTTAAAGCTGCCCCAAGCTTCGTCGGCCTAGGTGTCATCTCGACCAACGAGCTAGGTCCTGGCGGGGAGGCATCACAAAAGAGACAGCACTACCGCCAGATCCGCAACCTGATCATCGACATAACGGAAGCATCGCACGACGCCCACGTTAGCGGCATTCACTGGCAAGCGTCCGAGGCCTCGAGTATCCAGCACGTCGAGGTGCGCGCTGCCGACCCGCACACAGCGCCTGGCGGTCAGACGACCCAGATGGGCATCTTCACTGAGGACGGGAGCGGAGGGCAGATCAGTGACGTGGCCGTCCGTGGAGGCAGCGTTGGGATTCTGGCAGGCAACTCGCAGTTCGCGGCTCAGAGAATCCGGCTTAGCGGCTGCACCACTGGGGTCCAGCTGCTGTGGGATTTCGGCGGCGTCTGGAAAGGCATCGACATTCGAGAATCCAAAGTCGGCTTCAGTCTTGCAAACGGCAATGCAGACGAAAACAACATCAGAAATTATCTCGGCTCCGTCTACATCATGGACTCCACCTTTACAGACGTCGGCACTGCAGTTCAGAACGCCCCAGTCTCTGTTGAGCCCGGCACGGGTACCACGAGTGTGACGCTAGACAATGTGCTCTTCGACCGCGTTACTAACCGTGTGTTCGACGGCGAGAAGGAGTACGTCGAGGGTCGCCCATCAACGTTGGATACATGGACGCTTGGACCTATATACCTATCCCTTCCTGAGAGGGATCTTTCGCTTGGATACGAATTCCAGACACCCCGCGAACCCACGTTGCTGGCAGAGTACAGCGTCACTGCCAAGAACAGCAGCGGCACAAAAAGCCTTCCTAAACGGCCCTTCTTTGAGAAGTCGAAGCCACAGTACACCACTATTCCAGCCAGCTCCTGGGTCCATATGAAGGACTTTGCCAAAGGCGACGGAAAGACAGATGACACGATCGCTTTCCAGGAGGTATTGAACGGCAAGGGCTACATCTTTGTGGACGCGGGCGACTATCTGCTCGCCGACACCGTGACGATTCACCCAGGGACCTTCATCGTTGGAGAGGCATGGCCCAAACTGGTGGCTTTTGGGCCCAAATTTTCAGACCCACGGTGAGACTTTCCACTGATTGCAGTTTCTCGTGCTGCTCAGCACTCTAACATGTACCTAAAGGAATCCCCGACCTCTTGTCAAGGTCGGTGACGAAGGCAGCGTTGGCGCAGTGGATCTTCAAGACCTGCTTTTCACGACCAGGGGGGCGACTGCTGGGGCCAAGGCTATCGAGTGGAACATCAAGGCCGACAAGAACGGGAACGCCGGAATGTGGGGTAGGTGGAACATTCTACCTTCGCTCAGACTGATCACCACTGGATGCTAACTGAACGACCAGACTGTCACGTCCAGGTTGGCGGCAATTCGCAGACCAAGGAAACCCCGGCGGCGTGTGCATCTTCGTCCAATGCCACTTGCCAAGGGGCCGCGGTGCTAGTTCACATTACCCCTGGGGCGTCAGCTTATTTGGAAGGGCTCTGGCTGCGGGCTGTAGATCGACTGCTCGAGTAGGTTTTACCCCTTCCACGATACAATTCATGGACTGACCCTGCTCTCTCCTTCCTATTAGCGCCCCCGAGTCGATGGAAAATGGCGACAAAAAAGCCGAAATCCAGTTCCTGTCCGTCCCCCGCGGGGTTCTCGTCGAGAGCCAGGCTGCTACCTGGATGTACGGAGTCTCCGTCCAACATTCCTCGATGTATCAATACAACTTCCACAACTCTCAGAAGGTCTTCGTCTCTATGCTCCAGGCAGAGTCGCCCTCCACCGGACCTGAATCCCTGCCGACGCAGCCTCGGTCTGACATAGCTGTTGTGCTACCTGGAGACGCCGGGACCCCGAACCCTCGCGGATCTTGGGCCACCGTTGTTCAGGGCACCAAGGATGTTTTCATGGCCGGTCTCGGCCTCTACTCGTGGTTCTCCCAGGGATCAACCGCTTGCAGTAAGGGACCCATATCTCGTGTTGCCTCAATAGGAAGCCTTATTAACACTCTAGTACCTCAGTCTCTAGTCAATCATGTCAGGACGCCTTGATCCTGATGCAGAACAATACCAATCTTGCTATCCATAACCTCGTCACGATTGGCGCCAAGAACAGCATCGATCTCTCAGACAGTGGCCATGTTACCGCGACCGAAAACCTCGCCATTGACGCCCATCCGAATTGGAGCCAAATCACTGTCGTATACCCGATCCAAAACATGGCCGACGCCATGGCATGCAGGGACCCGGGCAGCTGGCCAGCCACTCCCCCGAATGGCAAGTTTCGGAATGCGGATTTTAACGACCAGAACCGGTTCTTTGTCTCCATGATCAATGGAAGCCCTTACCGGCTGTCTTTGACTCGAAAGAACTCGTACCAGATGACCGAATTCACATATGCGGACGTCGACCCTGGATTTAGCCCACAATTTTCCATGTACTACGGCCCGGGAACGTTTGTCGACACTAACGGCGAGGCTGTAAGTCCCCGCCACGGACGGCTCCCCTTCCTCCTACTTCGTTAGCGGAGCCGAGGACAAAAAGCTGACCAAGCCAATAGTACTACCGGCTCGAGGGCACCAGCAAGTCATTCCAGGTCCACGGCACGACCAACAACAACGACTCTAAATACAAACTCCGCGCGAGATATGTCTTTGACGGCATGTCGGCAAACGGAGTGCCCCAAGGATCGAGATATGAGCTTCGGTCGAGGGGTGGCGAGCGGGCGGTCAACTTCGTCCTCACAGGCAGCGAGAAGGTCGGGTACTGGACCAGTGTGAACCCTCCTGTGGCGTGGATGAATGCGCTGCTCCCCATTATTGGCGGGAGAAAACTGAAGCACATATCCATGCTGGGTTCCCACAACGCAGGCATCTCCTTTAGGAACGGAGGTAGGACTGTCCTCGCTTACGATATGCCCTGCCCTGTTGGAGCATATCTGACTTTACTACAACGTTTGCAGGAACTATTGGCCCAGAAGCTGCTTCTCTGTGCCAGGGGTTAAACATATACGGGCAACTGATGGCCGGCTCGCGCTGGTTCGACATCCGGCCAGTGATTGGAAACGGGGGCCAGCTGCTGACGGGTCACTACAGCGGGCAGAGGGCGCCTGTGTTCGGCATCAATGGTCAGGCGCTGGCCGATATTGTAGATGACATCAACCGCTTCACCGCGACCAACCCCGAGCTCGTGATCGTCTCGCTTTCCCATGGTAGGTAGCCACCATTCTTTTGATGCGCCTAGCAGGGCCCATGCTAACGTCATCTTCCGGCGCAGCCATGCAAACCGACGAGGGTTACCGCGACCTCAACGACGCCGAGTGGGATCGCGTGTTTGACGCCCTCGAGCGGCTCGACTCCCGCTGCGCCGGGCTGGCGGGCCAGATCCCGGACATGACGCTCGACTCGCTGATCGGGGCCGGACGCGCCTGCGTCGTCGTGCTCTCCGACGGCGGCCGCGCGCGGCCGGACCGAGGCATCTACCGGCCGGCCGACAGCTTCGACCTCGCGGACCACTGGAGCGACAGCGACAAGGTGGCCGACATGACGGCGGACCAGGCGGGCTGGGTGCGCGCCAACCGCAACCTCGTCTCGGACCCGGGCGCGCGCCGCGACCGCTTCCTCATCTCGCAGCACATCCTCACCGTCAAGGCCCTCAACGTGCTGGTGGCGTCCATCGAGGGGTACGCCGTCGACGTCGCGTACGACGCGCTCTTCTGGCGCGTCTTCTCGGCCTACACTCCCTGGAGCTTCCCCAGCGTGCTGCTCATGGACTACGTCGGGATCCTGTACAGGGGCGACAGGAGCCCGCTGCCCGAGGCCGGCGAGGCGAGGGCCTTGGTCATGGCCGTCAACGTCGGCCTGGCGAGTCGGAACTGCTGGCTTGGGGGAGGGTCCTTGGAATAATGTGTGACCCTAGTAATACACACATTTGTGAGCCAGAATGTCCTCGCTGGTCAGCGTAGTCTTCTTGCCCTTCTAGCGATTCGCCATTAGGTAGGCTCGGCGGGGAGCTCGGTTGCCAGCAGCCAAGTCCGTGTATGGTAACCATCCGCCCCCGACTCTTGTTCCTCTAACTAAGCCCCAGCCGGTAGGTACAAGTAGGCAAGTACCCGACCTAGGTACGTACTCGGTCCCTCCCGTCCGGCCACAGCACTAGCGCCACGCTCGACAAGACGCGGCCCGAGGCGATCCAAACAGGGCAGCAGCCAGTTCAAAGCTACTTGGGGGCCGTGACAAGATATTACGACTTGCGATGAACAGCGTTGTACTGGAGTCTGAATGAGGCTATCCTTCAACCGATCACCAGCCGACTGTGCCCCTTGATGCATGGTACCAGATGGATGCATGTCAGATATAAGCCGGCACCTGGCCATGTTGTTCCCCGCAGACCCGATGAAAGCGTCTGGACCGTCTCATTACCCCCCTCACCGCCCTGCGAGGGTGTTTTGAATAACGACTTCGTTGGTGGTCTTACCAAGGTGGAGGTGGAGTGACAAGCTACGTGAAAGCGCAGCCTACCCCCCAACGACTCTCGGAGCCTGACCAAGTAGCTACATCTCATTGGCGAAAGTGCGGGATCAGACGAGAATAGATGCAGAGAAAATATCCAACAAGACAAACGGCGACGCCAATGTATTGGGAAGGAAACGTAACACTCAACTGCAAGGCCTCCTCCTTCCTGATAGGTTATAGGAAAGAAAAAAAAGGGTATAAAGCCGGGGCTCGCCTTTGTTTGAAGATAGTCTGCGTTGTAGGACTTTCATCATCCGAACTAAGCTGCCTATCACAATCCTACTTCAGTCAGTCCTCCAAACAGCCATCCAAGATGATGACCCCGCGCTTCTCCATCGCCGTGGCCGCCGTGGCCTGGATGCTCGCCTCCACCGGCTCGTTCTTCGCTGCCGGCTCGCCCACCGAGGCGGCCGAACGGGCCCAGTTCGAAGAGAACCTAGTCCTCGGCGGCGGCACCATACAGTGGAAGGGCATACTCGAGGAGGGAAAGCCCGAGGTCATCTTGTCTGGCAAAGACTTTGAGGTAACCCTCATCAGCTCCCTCATTAGTACCCTCATCAGCTTCCTCATTAGCTCCCCGGCTGCGGACATGAGAAACCCGCGCTCGCTGACTACACACCCCCCCTTCCCCGCAGGACATCGAGCGCAAGGCCAAGGACCTCAACCCGAGCTACACCATCTTTGCCACCGAGAACTCGACCGCCCTCGAGGCGCGCGGCGAAGCCCTCAAGGGTCGCCAGACGGCAAGTCCCCCCCCTCAGCCTTCCATTTTGCCTCAGCACCACGCGCTGCATACCAGCCCCTACCTGACTGATTCTAATCCCGAACCCTCTTCCCCTCTCTACAGGAGCAGATCATTTGCGACCACCCGCTCGAGCGCGCAGGCGTGGATGCGATCCGCGAGGGCATTGCGTACCTCCGCACCATCTTGGGCCAATGCCGCGCCGACCCGGGTCCCTGGTCCTGCGGGCGCGTCAGCTGCTCTCGGAACTCGGCCATCCATTATTGCAACGGTATGGTGACTCCCCGTGTTCCCATGTTGTTACCCCCTGGGCCTTTTGGACAAGACAGCAAAACTGATGCCACGCGGGGGAACAAAAACAGACAACTCCGAGGAGCACTGGGAGCCATGCAGATGGATCGGCGACGTCGCCGAGGGTATCGTCCGCCTGTGCGAGAACAACGGGGGGGTGTCGGGCGAGGCCCGCGATCAACGTCGCTGGTACACCGTGGTTGGCCGCGGTAACTGCTGAGTTGATAACGAAAGTGAGGAGTGCAAGCTTTGCGGGCGCCACAGGGCCGGCAACAAGTTTTGTCAAGCCAAGTCACGGTTTGGCGAGGCTTGTGCAATGGAACAGAAAGGATTTGCTGCATCTTTAATATCTCTGTGATGTAATTGACCATATTTCCACCACATAGAACTGGTGGCCTGTGACTCCATGTTCGGCAGCAAAAGCGACAATACACCTGGCAGGATCATTGACGGGGCAAGTAGCAACGCCAAGCGCCGGTCATCAACGATGCCTCCAGAACCTAAAGGCGGCAAGCCCCGAGACCGTCACGACCGAAGCTATCCCGATCCAGATCTTGACGAGCTGCATGGTGATGTCCTCGGCGACCTTTGCGGCGGCGGCCGAGTCGTTGGCCCGGGGTATCGGCTCGTCGGGGACGGGGACGCCGAGGAACTCGCATAGGGGCCCCCAGCCGTCCTTGATCTCCATGACGAGCAGCTTCTCCGGAGGCACCAGGGACTTGACGCGCTGGTTCCAGTTCAGGAGCAATTCTACAAGGGGGGTGGCATGGTAGGGGTAAGTCAGAGGAATTCGGAATCGGCAGCAAAGAAAAGAGAGAGAAAACCCCCGAAAAAAAAAGGGAAAAAGAGGCCAGCGGCGGGTGGGGAGCGGTCACCTTTGCAAGGAAGCGGGTTGGCCGGCCCCTCCTTCTCGTCCAGGCCCAGGTAAATCTTGGTGGACGTGCCGAACTCGCGCGAGAGGGTCGGGAACCAGCGCCAGCCGGGCACCAGAACCATGGGGTAGGGCAGCCACCAGAGGCTCGAGTTGGCGGCGACGGGCCGGATGCTCTGGAGCCACGAGTCCGGGTCGCGCGTGGTCAGCACGACGCGCGCGTCCGGGTGGACGGCCAGCAGCTCCGGCACGAAGTCGAGCGGCGGCATGTCGGCCACGCCGACGAAGCCGTCGGTCAACTGCCGCACCAGCTCGCACGTCTTGCCAAAGTCGCCCGCGCGCTTGGCCTTGTAGGCCTCGACCCACAGCCGGCAGTGGGCTTTTTTTTTGTTTGTGTGGAGGATTAGTTTGTCAGCGTCGGCGAACACCTACCCGGCTTACCCAGGGAACGGTCCGCGCTCGGTGATAGGAACAGGCATGGCCCCCTGATCGCTGGCGGTCATGGATCCACGTGCGATAGGACGGACCGTGGGGGGTTGCATTGCCGGGATCATGACGTGTGGGGAGGGCAGGAGATGTGTAGAGGCATGGGCTTGGCACTGTCTGTTGCTTACCGTCTTCTCTCCCCAGGATTGCTGTTCCTCCGTGCAGTACAGGACCAGACAGCAGTTTCTCCAGTGCCAATTGCATTGCAACGGTGCCGGTCCTAGAGTAGCCCGCTGCGATGACCTGCAGCTTCTTTCCAGGCACCGGCTTTGATGGATTTCCGCCCATGGTTGGAGGGTGGAGAAGCGAGTAGTGTAGGCTACAGATGTAGAAGTTCAGAGTGAAGGAGAAAAACGAGGACAGCTAATCGCTGCATCTATCTTCAATCAAGTAGGGGGCATTTCCAAACATATTTTGGTCTGCAATGCGATGATTCATCCTGAGCAGGAAAACAGGCTTCCACTTTTGGTTAGGCCCAGGTCCACCACATGGCTGTGCCAAGAGCCCAATCACGTGTAGGCAACCAGATCGAGTTCAGGCTTGCGTCAGTCGCACGTGCAACCTGCAACGAATCTGGATCTGGTGTGCGGGAATCGGCAGGCTGCACATCTTGTTCTCCAATTTGGATCCGGGAGAGAGGAACGCACCCATGAGTTCTGCAAAAAGCAGATAGATACAGCCACGCACTCAGGCCCGCCAGTAGTAACCCCCGGCCGTAGCAACGAACCCCCCCGGCACCCTGGTCAACGCAGGCCGTCGCCGCCAAGCAGGCCAGAAGCGGCAGGACGGACTCCCTCCTTCCCCAGACGGCAATGCCCAATGCCAGGAGGGGGCCCCACAGCCCAAAGCGTGCGAGCCGAGACTTGAGGCCCGAAACGATGTGTTTCTCGGCCAGGTTTTGCGGCAAGATTGCCGCATCATCTCGGGTCTGCTCGGCGCCCCCGCTCGCCTCCAGGCTTCGGGCGCTGGGAGCGCTGGGCCTTGTAATGCGACCTTCTTGTTTCCGTCGCGCCAAGCGGGCGCGATGATGCCTCGGGGTGCACCAGATGTCCACCGGGACCACGGCCGATCCCTGGCTGTACCTGGGGAATTATAGTCTACAGTCCACACACGTCAGCCAGATGCCACAGGCCGATCATGGCTCACTTGTTCCGCCAATGGCGGCCGCCAAAATGCCATCTAGTGGGCTGCCCGCCCGGGATTGGCAACAACGGCAATGCTACCAAAATGCCATCATCGGAGGGCTGGGCGGCCGCATCCCCGCTCACAATGCCGAATGCGCCAAGCACGTCCTTATCTCGGCGGTTTTTCTGCTCTGAGAAGCTGCCTCTTCGCCCCTGGCTCGGACGATCGCTTGGTTCCTCATGGCTTGTCTGTCTGCCCGTGCTCTTTTAAGGGCAGCGTCCCGCAGCTGACTGCCTCGCTCCCGCCCGTCCTCGTCCTCGTCCTCGGCCCCTATCTGAATCAGACCGCTTTTCGACCCCCTCTAGGTCCTCCCCGAGCCTGGTAGTCGTGTAGCAGAGTCAGACACTGAGATTAGCAGTACAGAAGCGTCGCCATGGTTCCTGTAGGTTGGATCCGCGGCTCCGGCCTCATCACGGCTGTGCTCCTGGCCGGACAGTCGCTTGCCCAGTCGTGCCAGACCGCTCCGTCGGTCCGATTCGACATTCGCATGGGCGAGGGCTACTCCTCCAAGCCCATCGTGAGCGGCCTCTCGCGCCCGCGCGGCATCGCCACCGACAGCCAGGGAAACCTGCTGGTCGTTGAGGCGGGCTCTGGTGTGCGCCACGTCAAACTGGCCGAGTCGGGTGGAAGCGTGTGTGTCCAGTCGAGCAAGCAGCTCCTTGCTGATAGCCAGGTATGTAACCGAACCGGATTGGTAGGAGGAGACACAGTGGCGTTCGAGGTTTGTCCTCTGACTGACCGACCTCTCTCAATCTCGCAGCTCACCCACGGCATTGCGCTGTCCCCAGACAACAAGCACCTTTATGTCTCTGGGATGCACGGCGTGTTCCAGTACGCGTACAACGCCGTCGCGGGCACAGCGTCCAACCGCAAACTGATCGTCACCGACCTAAGCAACCCCGGCACTACCCATGCGACCAGGTCGCTTTGGGTGTCCCGCGCGAACCCGGACCTCCTGCTGGTTCATCGCGGCTCGTACAGCAACATCGACCCCGATGCCGCCAAGGAGGAGACTGGCCGCGCCGTCATTCGCTACTTCAATATCTCGGAGATCGCCCAGACTCCCCAGCCACACGCCACCGGCGGAAGTCTACTGGCCATGGGCGTGCGCAACACGGTGGCGTTTGGCGAGAACGTTGCCAGGGGCGAATTCGTAAGTGTATCGAGTAACCGGTTGGGGGGAGAGATGAGAGAAGACGACGACCACGCTTGTGGTGGAAAGAACCATGACTGACTGTCAACCCGCGCCAAAACACAAGTGGTCCGTCGACAACTCGATCGACGACATGCGGCGCTTCGGGGCGCAGGTGAACAACGACAACCCGGCCGAGAAGATGAACTTCCACGGCGCCATCGAGCTCGGCAACAAGCACCTGGGCGGCAACTTTGGCTACCCGACGTGCGTCGCGGCCTGGAGGACCGACACGCTCTCCAACGGGGCGCTCCGGGTGGGGTCACAGATCGCGGTGGACGTGGGCTCCGGTCAGGACGCGGCGGCGCTGGACGCGGCGTGCCAGCAAAAGTTCCTCCCGCCGCGCCTCAGCTTCCCGAGCCACAACGCGCCGCTCGACGTCAAGTTCACGGCCGACGGGAAGCACGCCTTCATTGCCTTCCACGGCAGCTGGAACCGCTCGCCGCCCGACGGCTACCGCGTCGTGCGCGTCGACATGGGCGCCGATGGCCAGCCGGTCCAGGCCGCCGACTCGGCGAACCCGGGTGCCGTCGTCATGCGCAACGCCAACAACGCCGCCTGCCCCAGCGGCTGCTTCCGGCCCGTCGGGCTCGCCATCGACGCCAAGGGGAGGATGTTCATGTCGAGCGACAGCACGGGCGAGATCTACGTGATCTCGGGGGGCGCGGGCCTGGGCAACTAGGCAAACCGGGGATGGTGATGCATGGCCGTGTCATGGGTATGGGTACATGTTGAGGAAGGCATATGGGAATGTGAAGATTGGCTGGTAAGCCTGCGCCGATGGTGTCATGGACGTCGCGAGGCTTGTTTGAGCAAAGACTAGAAACGTATGTTTGCCGCCTTGTTCTGTCTCGGGCCCTGCTCGGCCTGCTCCGCACAATGATACATCAGTCCTTCCGCCCGCATAAGCACACCCGACGCGATGCCATTGGGTCGTCTGTACCCTCGGAGTATTTCGCCCTTGAGCCGGCCGACTGACTTGCCCCCGCCTCAAGCACACATGTGGGGCACAAAGTCGAGCGAGCGGCTGGCACTGCGTCTCGCTGCGTCTCTTGTTTGGCCGATCGTTCTTCAACAACGACGTTCGCGCTGCGGTGGAGTGCATGTGCGGCAAGTGGCGCGTCCCCAGGCCTGGTCACAGCGGCAGTTCGTAGCGTTGGGCGTCGCACCAGGATCGTCTGCATCAGATCGTCTGGCGGCGCGGTCTGGGCGGCAGGGCGAACTGTCGAGGGCTGTCGGCTGCTATGCTGTCCTTTTTTTTTTTTTACTTGTTTAGGTTTTTGACTCCCGGGTCCGCCAGCCCGCAGCAGATCCAATAGGTACCTAGTTGTAGATCTGGGCTTGTGAAGCACGAAAAGGGAACAGAGAGAAAAAAAAAAAGGCTTGGAGCTAAGATTTTCCCATAGCGACCAACGCACTCCCGTTGGCTAGCTGCAGGGCGGGGTCGGCTGATCTAGCGTGGGCTCCTCCAGCTTGGTCATGCCTTTTCCCCAGGCTCTCACCCCACGATTTCGCAAAAACAGCCCACCCCCCCTTTGGGACGCGGGACCCGCACCGGGATGCCCCATCCAGCGGCAGGCCATCGACCCATGGCGCTTGGAGCGCAAATCCCAACCGGGTGCGTGTTCAAGGGGTGCTATGGAAAAAAGAACACCAGCTTCCCCTGGCCCGAGGGATATTTTAAAAGGCCTTGGGTTTCCCGCCCTCCCAGACCTCGTGGGAGTCCCTGCTCTTCGACGATTCCTGCCAAGATACCTACGATTTGCACTGCAGCCCTGAGCTTGATCGACCTTCTCTGACGCTTGCTTTCACGTGTCCGCCTACCTCAAAAAGAAGCTCTTGGCTCTCGATACAAAGATCGCTGCTGTCCCTCGAAAAACACACACAAACACACGACCCTCGCATCGCGCACACAAAGACACACAAACACGACCGCTGCAACAATGGCCCCAACAAAGCAACAATCAACCAGGCAGTTCGCCACGAGCTCGAGGGTCTTCCCTCCCTATCTGCCGTACCTGCAAGCCCCCAAGACGCCGAGGGCCGCGAAGCTGTATGTTGACACCACCCCTCTCTCTCTCTCTCTCTCTCTTTCCCATCTATGCGGCACCTCCATTATTTTATCCAGGCCCAGCTGCTGACGAAACCAATCCCCCCCGCCTCGCAGGATCCCATCGGCCGTCGCGCTAGCGGGGATAGGCTACGGCGTGTCCATGTACCGCCAGTCCCAGGCTGCAAAGCAGGCTCCCGGCCGCCGGCCCAGCGGCGCCGAGGACGAGGCCGAGCGGCGGCGCAGGACCGAGGAGCTGATGACGGCCTACGGCGACCGGGACTCGCTCGAGTCGCTAGAGGAGGCGATCCGGGTTTACGAGTCACAGCAGCGCCGCTGAGGCATTGATTGCTATTTTGCTCTTTTTTGGGAGTTTGTTTTTCTTTTCCCTTTCCGCGGGAGGCACACTTTTTTTTCGCCATCATGCGTGGCGTGCGTGATGAGGTGTCGCCCCCGAAAGCGTCCTGCATATTATGGGTTCCCTTTCCTGTCGTCCGCATCAGCTTGGCGTTTTTTGTCTCTTTAGCGTGAGGGGGTATCGGTCGGGTTTGAGCTCGGTTTACGAGGAGTTAATGGAGTTACGAGAAAGGAGGGGTCCCACCTTCCCGAGGGCGATGATCATCAGGCCTGCAGCATGCCCGCCGTGGGGGTTTGCCAGCACAGACAGGCCTCTGATGCAAGCGCGGTGGTTTAGGCGCGCGAGGCGTATCATCTTTTTAGGACAAAAAAAATCGCTCTATGCTGTGTTTGGGTTTTTCTCGTGCTGAGATTGACTGTCGCGCAATAGGTATTTTATCCAATGATACTGGCATCACTCTCGCCTCGTCTCTCCTTTACAGGCCCTATTGACGGCAGTCCTGTCGTGCGTTCCAGCGCTTGATTGATATATAACGGGGGTATCTGTCTATCTGAAAAACACTATAAAACGATACAGTCCACCACCCAGGTTTACAAAACGGTACCAAATACAAACAACTCCAAAACTCCAAGAATGAGGGCGAAAAGACAGCCCGCAGGTCCCAGACAGATGCACCAAGTTCAGGCCCAACACCTGGACGCCCGAGCTTCAACCCATCATACACACCAGCCTACCAAGTACATATTACCGAACCCGCGTGGCATTGACAAGGCGCCCGGGCGACGTGGCCACCCAGCACATTTCCGTCTCGGCAACGCGGAACGCCGCCCCGTCGCGGTGGAGGAGGAGCTCCCGCATCAAGACCTCTGACGTCTCCTCGAGGCACCGGATCCTCGGCTTCGACGAACGGCGGTTGTCGTAGCCCATCTTGACGACCTTGTCGTCAAACTCCATGTCGATGGAGAAGGCGGGCCCGTGTGTCCCAAGGGGGAATTGCTCATCTGGTGCGCTGGTGTTAGCCGTTGTGTTGCGTCCAAGTGCGCGGGATCCAAAGGTTTGTGGGGGGTGGAACTTTTCTTTTTTGCGTCTGCTTACGTTTGCCTGTGCCCCAGATCTGGCCCGTGATGGCGTCGTCGCTCACGTAGCTCCCAAAGTTGACCTTGTTGATGATGACAGGGATACCCGGCTGTTCGATGTTGACACCAGCGTCAGAAAGGGGGCTCTCCTGGTGTTCCCGTGATGTTGGTTTGGGCGGATCATTACCTGCGCGCTCCTGAGGGGAGAGCTAGTGTCCTCGTAGACTTCGAGATATCCGCCGTAGAGGATGTGCTGCAGACGCCGCCCGGGCTCGCCGCCCAGGAGCATCTCCTGCAGCGCGTGCGTCTGGTTGCCCCTGCTGTCGACCTTGGGCCTCGGGTAGGTGAAGTCGTTGCGGCGGCTGCTGCCGGCCAGCATGCCGACGAAGCTGTGGCAGAGCTCGAGCGCCATCCTCGCCCCGAGTATGAACTGGAAGGTCATGAAGCGCTGGAATGCCGCACCGTCATCTGCTTCCCCGGCCTTCTGGTGCCGGAAGCACTCGGAAAGCTCCACCATGCGGTCGAATCTCTGTACGCGGTCGGCGCACGTCAGTCCTTTTGGTCGAGGCGATGCGGTTGTCCGCAGTGGGGGAAAGGGGTATGCCAATGAAGGTGGGGGCAAGACGTAGACCTCACCTCCGCGTTGATGGCAATAGTCACGGCCGTGCCTGGGGCGTAGTTGGTCCTGTCTCCTTCCCAGGCCCCCTCGCAGGGCTCGGTGGTAAAGACGCGCGACGTGACGGGGAGGGTGTGGGGGCTCACCAGCGAGCAATCGACCACGATCGAGGGGAACCTGCCGCGCACCCGCTCCAGGAAGTGGTCGACGTACTCGCGCATCCTGCCCGGGTCCGCGTCGCAGTCCATCCGCCCCGTCTGCCGCCACTGGTCCAGAACGAAGCGCCCGACCTTCTCGAGCGCCTCCCTCCCCCGCACACCCTCCAGCGTGACGAGCCCGAAGCGAGCGATGGAAGTGAGCTGCCGAGGTTTTGCGTGTGGTCAGTGGGGGAGGTCGGGAAGGAGAACCTTGCGCAGCCGGCGGGGACTTACACACGCGAACTCGGCCGAGTCTGTTTGCATCGGCTCCAGCCTTGTGTGATCGTACCGCGTGAAGAGGGTCGGGAATATTATCCCTTCCGTGGAAGATGTGATGGCCATCGCTAATGAGGCCGGGGCGGCGCTGGGGGTGGATAGTGTGCCAAGGTTTGGAACAGCCAATAAGTGGCAGTAGATGGGTAGTAGGGGCCTAGGTAATTTTGTTGATATTCTTGTGCGATGTGCTGATCTGCGTCTCCGACAGGCTAAGAAGTTGATGTAGCAACTGTGGAGGTTTGCCTGTATCCCGACAGTGGCGGTTGGCAACCCACCTACCTACCTATATAGCCGCGCGGGACACATCACCACATTTGGGAAGGAGGGAGGGGGGCATCTCTTGGCTGCCGCCAGGGCTGCCTCACGAGGCTCGGGGTCGGGACCATGGCCACGGCCATGGTCGTTGCTAAATGCCCGTTTCTGCGCCGCGTGCTGGCCCTGGTGCAAGTTCGGAAAGACGCAGCAGGTGAGCGACGCAGCTGACCGGGTGACCGAAGGGCGCGAGGCTCAATCGATGTGCGGTTGCCTGATTGGGTCGGCAGTGCTGTTGTGGCTGTGGCTGTGGCGTTGGTTTGGCGGGAGAAGAACGCATGGAACGTGGAATTTTGACACATCCAACCGTCAGGACTTGGCGACGGCGGATGTAATTACGCGCGCGCGCGATTGGGGGAGGAAAAAAAAGAACGAGAGACAGGTCGAGACGAAATCTGGAGAGCACGTCCTTGGGGCAAGGCCAGTTTTGGCAACCTGGGGCCTCTTAAACACTGCTCAGCGGCCTTTTTCGTCGACCAGTATCAACAACTTTTGAGTGCTCACCGGCTACATGTAGTGCTTTCATGGCCCCAATTGCTCCAATAGCCCCCCACAAATTGCCATGGCGTCTGGTGTCACGCAGAGGCGCCAGCCTTGACCGAAGCCAAGGCTAGGCTCTTGGGAAACCATGCATAAACCATGCATAAACCATGATCCAGGTGGACAGATGAGCCGGCCCAATCGAATAATATACATCATCTGGGTGTGAATAATTAAAATTACAAATCGGAACGCGAGACAAAACGGAGAACACAAGCCTGGCGCAAGGCTTGTGGCTTGCAGAAATCATCCAAAAACAAAGAGTGGTAGAAGAAAAAGAGAAGAAAAAAAAAGTCCCAAGCGCCTAACTATCCTCCTCGCTCCGTATGCCCGAAGCCATGCCGGCCTACTCGGAGTCTGTATCTTCTCCCTCCAGTACCCTTACCAGGAAGTTCGGGAGCGTCCAGCCTTGGCAGTCGGTCGCGGGGTCGGCGCCGCATTCGTTGATTAGGAAGTGGAGCAGCCTCACCCTCGGCCACATCAAGCCAAAGACGTTGGGGGAGTCGCTGTCCCACACGACCCCGGGACGGCAGTTAATACTCAAGATCCAGAAGCATATGCACTTCAGCGGCGTCGCCCCTCCCTCGCCGCCGACGAGGTGGTTCACGTCGGCCCCAGCAGCGACTAGTCGTCGGATCGTCGGCCTCACGAGGCCGTCGTCGGCGTCATAGCCGGGTGAGTCGCCGGACGAGTAGGGAGTGACAGACGCCTCGTCGCCGCCACTGTCATCGCAAGTCGCCTTAAGGATGATGTAGTCGGCGAGGAACCTGTTGAGGTCCGAGGGGCTCATGTCCTGGATTACGTCGGTCAGGATGGAATTCCAGGCCGAGATGTCGGCGTCGGAAGGTCGCCTAATGAGGGAGCCATATCTGTAGCTAGCTAGCAAGTCGAACGGGCGGATGCCATCTGTCTGCCAGCCCTTGGGCCCTAGCAGAAGCTTGAGAGGCAGGATGAGTGGAGGGATTGCCGAGCTCTGACAGGACCAAGACCCCAGAAGAATCTGGGCAGGTGATATCTCCAGTTCCATTGGAATATCTCTTGGGCTAGGCATCATGGACAGTATGTTCTCGCCAGAACGGTGTATTCCAATCCAAGGCAGCCTCTCAGTAGCGATATCCTCCTCGATCACAGCCGGGTTGGCATCAAGCTCAAGCAGATACCGGAGCCGTTGGATAGCGTCTGAGCCTGGCTGGGTGTCGCGGCATGGTGTCCAGTCACGCACCGCGGAGAGGTAGATCATCAGCGGCGTGTAGTACCGCATGACCCACTCAACCTGTACGGGCAGTCTAACTGCGAGTTTGGCTCCTCGTGCAAGACACATGTTTGCGATGTCTACCAGTTGCTGGAACTCCGTGGCGCGCACCGAAGCACCGTCGTCTCTGTATAGGCCCCGGGCCAGGGCGTACGCGACTGCGAACATTGGGCCGTGGTACGCAAGGCGTGGACGATACAAGCGGTCCAGGCGCAGGTACGGATCGTGCTGCCCGCCATATAGTTGCTTATAATCTTCTCTTATGGCGAAGAACTTGCGATCCAGCGCATCCACACTGGCGCCGCTGTCCAACAGGAGGCGGACGAGGCTAGCAGACCGCGTCATGATGGCCACCGAGAGTGTGGGCAGAAAGATGCCGCGGTGCTGGCGGTCATGGTCCTCTTGACTGCTAGGCTCCTCGAGGAAGATCCAGTTCGGATTCGGGCGGGCACCAGCACTAAGAAGCCTCTTGGCGAAATCGAGACAAGAGGAGGCAGTCCAAGTGCATGTACCGTATCGGTCTTCGCGGTAGTTCTGCATATCGACCACTCGGTAGAGCATCTCGTCGAGCTGGTATTGTTGCAGCTGGGAGACGAGCGGCGGTGTGTCTGCGACCATCTCGAGGCCGTCGGCTGCTCTGGGACCTGGGTTATCGAGGAAGATTCGGAGAAACTCGGTGGAGGTCGGACAGACGATGTGGCGGGCTAGGCGCCTACCGTCAGCCCCGAGGCAGTCAACGCGGGTGCCGACCTCGATCAAGCGATGGAACGCTCCGGCGCTCTTGTGCATCGCAGCAAGGTCGAGCGTCAGGTTTTCCTGCCCTGTTCCCTCGACCCTGGCCCCTAGGGCAGTCCACCTCGCATATCTGAAGTGTGTGCTAGCGGGGGCGCCGTGAAGAACGGCCTTGTGCACCAGGCCGTCGAGGTTTTGGGTCAAGGCCCACCACATGGCTTGATTTCGAAGCTTTTCCGTAGCCAGTAGCCGCTGAAGTAAGAGCCAATGGAGGGCCCTGTTGGTACGGGAGAGGCGGGAGATGTCGGCAAGGTCTAGCGCCGTCTCATACAACACCATGTCCATCAACTCTGGCGGCAGCCTCTCCAGACGAGAGACTGGCGACCAAGATGTGCGGAAGGAAGCCATGGTGTTTTATGGGTAATGGCTAGTGCCTGATATTTTGTGGAGGTTTTGAAGGCTGGAGGAGGGTGAAATATTTATATGCTAATACGTGCAGGCAATCCCGCAGGAAATGAATGGCCCAAGGTTACTACTCTTGTCTTTTCAAAATCCATGCGACCGTTGTACCTAGTGCTAAAGAATTATATCATGTTCTCCCACATCGAACAGCAAAAAAGCGTGTACTACACTAACAATTTGCAAATCTTAAGGCCCCATACCTTGGTCTACAAAGAGAAAGCAACGCCCATAGGGTTCCTTTGTAGTTGTACGTTTAAACTTATTTCATGGGTGGTTGCTTTTTGAGCACTCGAAATAATGCACAATAAAAGCTTTAGGAAAGGAAAGGATGGGTACGACTGAACAGTTCAAATTCTAAAGACTGGATCGAAACTTAAACAAAAAGCATTGTGGAAGAAGGAAACGACATACAGCCACAGGTCGCTTTTCCGGGAGGAGTTTGGGACATTACAATTAGCGGAAAATGAGGACGGGAACTAATTCTGTTGTCACACGGGGATTGAACCAGTGACCCAGAAAGGCCGAACGGACGGCCAACAGGACGAGTTACAGGACAGCGATAGGAAGGTGGGCGTTGGTTGGGCCGGCTGGAAAGGTTACAAAAACCCCGCATGCATTACGCGCCCGGTCGAAAGGGAATTTGTTCCCTTCGACCCAAGTACGTATCTTTCCTATGCGCTTAAATAGCCTATATAAGGAAGGCTTATCTTTCGAAGTCCTCGCCGGAAATTTTGCTTTTTTAAGCATTTTTTAAAGGCTTTAAAAAATTATTAATATATTAAGCACTTTTTAAACCGATCCTAAATCCTTTTGTAACAAATAATTTTTTATTATTCCGGGATTGCTTTAACGTACTTATACTTTTATTAAAAAAGGGTATCGTTAATCCAAATTATTTTTAACCATTACCTATTTTTATAGGTTTAATTCCCTTTTTTATTGCGCAAATCCTTAATAACGTTGCCGCGATTTTACGCATTTAAGCAAATAATTAAGCCGGTTCGCCGAAATTTACCTTTAAAAACGAAAAAAACCTTGCTAAAATAAACGGCCCCATATCTTTTTGTTAATATTGCACCCGCCTTGCCGTTTAAAGCTCGCAAGCTTGCATTTATTACCTTACAAAGGCCGAGCGCGACCAATAGTTACGCTAAAAACCAATTTTGGCGTCGGTCGCCGTTACAACGGACCCCGACAAGCCTTTGCAACCGGCTACTCCGCAGCCGCTTGCTACAATTACTAAGCTTATCGCTAAATCCTTTAACCCGCTTATTGCTTTAAACAATAAACTTGTTTTTGCTTTTAAAAAGCCACGCGTCCTTTCCAAACCAATTAATCCGCGGCAGGTAACCTTATTTATTGCGACAGGATTTAAACTTATCGGTAAAAATCGCCTTACCCGGGTTAAAAAACAATAAAGCGATTTTAAATAAAACCTTACAGCACGCGTCGACGTTTTAACAAAAAATTTGGACCACGCTCGTAATTTTACCCGTACCATTTTTATACAAACAAATTAATAATACGAAACCATTGCCCAATTTTTTAAAAAAAAAAAAAAAACGAAATCGCACATAAAAGCGCCGTTGCAAAATATATCGATATTATTAAAAAGCGCTTGCGATTTAAAGCAAATTAAGCATTTAACAACCTCGTTTCGCAAATTAATACCATACGAAAAAACCTTACCGCTTTTACCCAATAAATTAAAGCCCGAAACAAAATTATTAAATCGTAAATTTCCGCCCTCCGAAAAAAAGCACAAAAAAAACCATTAAAAAGATTAAACAAAAATTTGCTTTACAAAAGCGAAAATACAAGCTATTAAAAAAGAAAATTACTTAGCTTTTTTTTAACGCACGCAATGGAAATTACCTTTAAAAATATAACGCTTTT